GGAGTGAACCACAGGCCTGGTTTACCCCTGTGTCCCTACCAACAGGGTCAGCTCTAGTGTGCTGCCCAGGGGTGGTACTATGCCCACTCTTCTGGGTGCTCCAGCTGGTAAGGGGACCCAAGATTTTTATTTGCAGCCATTTGATAGAATGTAAGATATGTCCCAGTAGATTTGTGTTTATCAAAGGAAAAGTGAGGCTTCATATCATTAATACATACCTGCAGCTATATAACCACTTCGGTAAAACATCTCTTCAAAATTTCTAATTATTCTTATGGTTGAGCTTTGAGTATTTCCTTTATTCTAATTAATTTTATATATGTGCTTTCTAGACACTTTCCTCAGCCTGTGATTTAGTTTTCTATTATTTAAAACAGATGCCTTACAGAACAGATCTTTTTGCTTATTTATCGAAGTCTTCCCCCTACATACATGCCCCAGCCCCATCCACTCCTCTTCTACTGTTTCTCTTCAGATACCGGTGGGCATCCTATGAATATCAGCAATTCATGGGATACCAAGCCGTAGTGAGACTGCGTTCCTCCTCTACAGAACGGAATTTCTAATTGTAGTGAGGTCGGATTTATGTTCCTTTCATGCATCTCCCTTCTGATGTCAAATCTGTGACATCCCTGCACATCCCTGTCTGGAAGATGCTTCCATCTTTAGAGACTCTAGCTGCTGTGGCTCTCACCTTCTGCATGTGGTCCATTCTGTTACACATTGCTTGCAGCATATATATGTATGGCAAGATAACTCCCAGTAGGGTGATGCTACCGATGCAATTAGTTTTATGAATTAATCCAGAACTCAAGGGCCAACTGCAGGAGAACTTTATTTGTTCCATTGCATTCTTCTGGGAATCCCAAGTGAATCACACAAAGGACTTGAAAACTCTTTGGGATGACCTCCTTACAACCTTTGTGCCTAGACTCTGACCTCAGACAAGCAGTGGTGACTGGGAGTAGGAGAAATCTAAACCTTCACCTTTTAATCTGATGTTGGACCTCGGGAGACGAATTTGGATGGTGTGCATCCCCCAAGCTTTGCAAAGATGCCAACCCAATATGTACCTGTCCCCTGTGCTCTCCCCAGCCGAGAGCTTTCCTAAAGCCAGCCCCTGCACTAAGCAAATATTTCTCTCCTCTATTTCGCTCCTCTTTTTTTAAAAGTCTTTCTTCCATCTGATCCCCCATTCTCTTTTATATTGTGTAATATAATTCTTAATAAACCTTTAAATAAATATTATTAAACTATTAAAAGAGAATGAACTAGTTTATACATGGGTCTTATAGGTACTTCAAATTGTAAAAAAAGAAAAAAATCCTTTATAAGTCTAAGCTATGATTCCTCTGAAGTCATATAAAATGATACTAATGTGAATGGCAAAATTTAAAATATCTCAAATTCCTGTGACAGAATACTACTGAAAACGAAAGACACTGTGTTCTAGTTAAGTTTTGAAGGCAAACATTCCCTGGAGCTGAAAATGTATTGTTAAAAACACAAATATCTTACTACAGAAATGCCTACTGATTTTCAGTTTTTCTTTGTAAAAAGAGCTGACTTAAAACTGCATTCCGTTCATTGATGACTAACTTGCAGAAATACGAAACGAGAGTAGGAGACAAGGGCACTCAGCTCTCAGGAGGCCAGAAGCAGAGGATCGCTATCGCTCGAGCCCTCATCAGACAGCCTCGGGTCCTGCTGCTGGATGAAGCCACGTCGGCTCTGGACACGGAGAGTGAAAAGGTCTGCCTCTGCCTGTCTGTCCCACTAACCTATGAAAAGGAGAATAAGAAAAGCAGACACAGGGAGAGCAAGCACTAGATAGAGATACAATTGTTTTAAAGTAATAGAATATATGATTCCAATTTTTCTAACAAAGTACATATATTTCCTAAACATAAAGCAAGCATTCAAAAGGAGACATAACAGCTTTGGTACATTAGCTGTAATGAAAAACTCAAAAGGACTGAAATAAAAAAGGAGCTAGATAAGTTGATATGGCAATGAGTCAGAAAGTCTAAATACTTGCCAGGGTCATTTGCATCATAGAAGCCTGTTTCTGTTATGATTGCAAAGTAAAACATAACAATGTAGATTACACTAACAGCTATGTGAAATGCATACATAAAGCCGTGTTCGAAGAGAAGGGGATTCTGGGAGTTGATGTTATTAGGATGGGGGAGCACGCCTGCTGCTGTGGTTCTCAGTACACAGCTCCTCTTGGCTTTCCACAGGTGGTGCAGGAAGCCCTGGACAAAGCCAGGGAAGGCCGCACCTGCATCGTGATCGCTCACCGCCTGTCCACCATCCAGAACGCGGACTTGATCGTGGTGATTCAGAACGGCAAGGTCAAGGAGCAGGGCACCCACCAGCAGCTGCTGGCCCAGAAAGGCATCTATTTCTCAATGGTCAATATTCAGGCTGGTGCCCAGAACTTATGAACTCTTGTTACAGTGTATTTTTAAAATAAATTCAAAACGTTTTACACTTATGACGTGTAGAAGAAGTTTCTCATTGAAGCTACAAAGTAAAGATCTACTTTATTCCACATGAGTTTAAAGCACCCGAGGCTGGTGGTCTCGAAGGGACACCTGCCTTGACAAAAGTGATGTCTACCAACTACAGTGTGGCTCTTTCTCCCCGAGCCATCAGCACCACCCAGGGAGACCTGCAGCAAAGCTCAGGCACGTGAGTGAGAAGGATTAATAGAAACCCCAAACTAGGAGCAAGTTCCCATAGTTCCGAATAGGTAGGTGTGTGACAAGATGACTCGGGAACAGGTTTCTGAGTACAAAGGAAAGTTAAATTTACACTCTGAATTATTCCACTGTGCAATAGGAGGTGTTGCTTGTTGTGGCCATATTGAACACTTATTTTTATCAACACGTTCCATCCTACATATTAATGAGGTTCCGTGTGGTATTGCTCTACATGGAATACGCATGAGAAGATCCAAACACCGGTTTCCATTCCTTCACAAACCCATCCCAGTGAGCAGTAATCAGTACTCTCCATGCAGGAGTCAGGTTTAGCATCACAGGAGTGAGGACGTGTGGCACTCTTCTTTCTGTCCTGCTTATTTCACTTAAAAAACACCCATTTCGCCGGGCGGTGGTGGTGCACGCCTTTAATCCCAGCACTCCGGGAGGCAGAGGCAGGCGGATCTCTGTGAATCTCTGTGAGTTCAAGACCAGCCTGGTCTACAAGAGCTAGTTCCAGGACAGGCTCCAAAGCTACAGAGAAACCCTGTCTCGAAAAAACAAAAAACAAAACAAAACAAAAAAAAAAAAACCAAAACACCCATTTCATCCATTTTGCTGAAAACTATGATCTCATTTGCTGGCTTTTTTTTTTTTTCTTGTGCAACTAGAGATCAAACTTAGGGTAGGCATACATTCTTAACATGTAGCTTAGGTTTCTTTCATCCTTATGACTAAATATAGCAATTTCTTTATGCATTTTTCTATTGACAGAAATCAATGTAGATAGACTATACACCTTAGCTGTTATGAATACTCCTGAATGAAACATGATCATGTGGGGATATATTTTGTATGCTGCCTCATTTTCTTTTTTGTTGTTTTTTTTTCCAGTCATGTTTGGTTCTCTACCAGGTCTCTGGGCTATCAAGTCTCTGGGTCCTGAACTTCCAGGCCATGTCAGTGAAGAGCTCCCTTTCTGTATAGGTCTCAAGCTGGATCAGTCATTAGTTGGCCACTGTTAAAATTTCTGTGCCATCTTTACCCAGCACAGCCTGTAGGCAGGACAGATTATAGGTTAAGGGGTTTGTGGTTGGGTTGGTGTTCTAATCCCTCCACTGGAAGTCTTGCCTGGTTATAGGAGATGGCTGGCTCAGGTTCCATATCTCCCATTACTAGAAGTCTTAGCTAGGGTCAGCTTCATAGATTCCTGAGAATCTATGGATCTAGTTTCCATTGCATTAGGTTTCTATCTTGACCCAGAAATGGCCCGATTTCAGTTGTCTTTCCCAGTACTCTCTCCCCAGATCCTCCTTATACCTGATCCTTCCTGTTTCCATCTCCACCCTCCCCATCCAGACACCCCCTCATTCACGAGCAATGTCCACTCTGTTTTCTCTTCATGGTGAGGGTCATGTGTGCCCTCTTGAGTTCTCATTGTTAGTTAGCTTCCCTGGGCCTATGGATTGTAGTACAGTTATCCTCCTTTATGGCTAATATTCACTTACAAGGGATTACATACGCTGTTTGTCTTTCTGACTCTGGGTTTCACACCCAGGATGATCTTTTCTAGTTCTACACACTTGCCAGCAAATTTCATAATGTTATTAACAGTTGAGTAATGCTCCATTGTATAAACATTCTCAGGTTGAAGGACACCTAGGTTATTTCCAATTTCTGGCCATTATGAATATAGCTATTATGGACATAGTTGAGCAAATGCCCTTGTAGTACAGTAGAGTATACTTCGGGTATATGCCTAGGAGTGGTGTATCTAGGTCTTGAAGTGGTTCGGTTCCCAATTTTCTGAGAAACCACCATATTTAATTTCCTAAGTGGCTGCACATGTTTGCATTCTCACCAGCAATGGAGGAGTGTTCCCTTTGCTCCACACCCTCAGCAACATGAGCTATCACTTGTGTTTTCTGGTAGGTATAAAATGGAATCTCAGTGTCACTTTGATCTGCATTTCCCAGATGTCTAAGGTTGTTTAACATTTCTTTCAATGCTTCTTGGCCATTTGAGATTTCTTTGTTGAGAATTCTCCATTAAGGTTTGATTATTTGGTTGTTTTTTTTTATGTCTAGTTCCTTAAATTCTTCATATATTTTGGATATCAGCATTCTGTCCAATTTGGGGTGGGTAAAGATCTTTTCAAATTCTGTAGGCTGCCATTTTGTGCTCTTGATGGTGTTTTTGAAGTTTTCAGCTTCATGAGGTCCTATTTATTGATTGTTGATCTCAGTACCTGTGCTAACCTTTCTATGTCAATGTGTTCAAGGCTGTTCCTCTCTCTCTTTTCTATCAGGTTCAGTGTATCTGGTTTTATGATGTTGAGGTCGTTGATCCATTTGAGTTTAGTTTTGTGCAGAATCTATGAATCTATTTGCATCTAGTTTGACCAGCACCATTTGTTGAAGAGGCTACCATTATTTTACCTTCCTCATTGTTTTCTGGCTTCTTAAAAAAAAATCAGGTGTCCATAGGTGTGTGTATTTATGCTTGTATCTTCAATTCAATCCCATTATTCAATGTGTCTGATTTTGTAAGCCACCTTGTGGTTGCTGGGAATTGAACTCAGGACCTTTGGAAGAGCAGGCAATGCTCTTAACCTCTGAGCCATCTCTCCAGCCCAATGTGTCTGATTTTGTTTCTTTGTGCCAATACCATGTTTTTATATTACATGGTTTGGTACAAAATCTCTGCAGTACAACTTGAAATTGGAGATGGTGATACCTCCAGCATTTGTTTTATTATTCAGGATTGTTTTAGGTATTCTGTTGTGTGTGTGTGTGTGTGTGTGTGTGTTTCCACATGAACCTGAAATTTGTCCTTTCAAAATCTGTAAAACTTGTGTTGGGATTTTAATAGAGATTGTAATTAATATGACATCCATTTTTTTACTATATTCTTCATACCGATCCATGAACATTCTGTCTTCTAATATCTTCTTCAATGTCTTGAATCAAAATTTTATCACACATATCTTTCATCTTCTTGATTAGAATCACTTAAAGATATTTTATATTATTTGAGGCTATTACGAAAGGTGCTGTCTTTCTGATTTCTTTCTCAGTCCATTTGTCATTTGTATATAGGAGGGCTACTAATTTTTGTGAATTAATATTGTATCCAGCCATTTTGCTGAAAGTGTTTATCAAACACAAAGTGTAGCTGTTTCCTGATGGAATTTTAAGTGACACTTATGCATAATATCGCATTATTTGGGTCCTCTGGAAGAAGAGTCAGTGCTCTTAATCTCTGAGCCATATTTCCAGCTCAGACACTAAATTTTTAAATGGTTTATTATACAATATTTAACTGATAACAGAAAATGCCAAGAAAGAGAACAGGAATCACTCTTCTCAAACACAAGCTGAAAAGCTATAGGATTCTGGATACTTTATTCTTTGAGAATCATAAACCACAAAACTGAACAGCAATAGGAAACAACTGTAAAGTCCTGAGAATATTCAACATTTAACCCTTTCAAAGTCACTAGCTCTAACAACTGGGTTTAAATGGAAGTGCCTTCATTCTGTATTCACAAAATGAATTACAATATATCATATAGGTTTTGCTAGGATTTTTTCCTGTGTTAATGTAAATATTTCTATTATACTTGAAACTTTTGTCTATTCAAAGGAGCTATTTTAGATCACTATTGAAATGTAGTGGTTTTTTCATGAAACCTAATTGGCTTGTATCCCTGTGCTGGGTATAGAAGGCACTGACTTCATGGACATTAGCAACTAACCATGTGCTTCATATAACCTCTGGCAATTAGAAAATATTAAAGTGCTTGAAAAGTAGTCTACAATTATGTTCACAGGGGACAACTGCCATCTATACATGTGTCAACAAAGATATTTTAAAATCAGAGTAGGGTCTGCATTGTTGAGGCTCCTGTTTAACATTGCATAGTCCTATAGTCACTATGTCTGACTGTGCATTGCTGCTGCAACACAGGAAGCTTTAAGATGTTTCTACATTCTAAGGTAGAATAAATCTAGGGGGTACAACCTACTACTACCACAGTTAACAAATCTCCTTCAAGTCAACATTCCTCCCATTCCAGCTACTCTCTGTACCGAGTTGATCTGTGTGTGTCTCTTGAGTTTCTAAAGATGAGAGGTATTCATCAGCTGTATCATGTCATGGAATGCATGAAAAGTCATCTGAACTAGCTTTTCCGAATCAGTCTCCGGACATGACCTCCAGGCCGAACACGCCACCACAAACCTGTGAAATACAAAACATGAATGGTTATGCCATAGCGTCTAAGTTGTTAGATGTTTCATCTGGCTGCTCACACATAAAATAGGAATTCGTGATGATGTTAGGTATATGTAACCTGGTACAGCTGAAGACAGAGTCACAGTTACACACACTTACACAATGCTATGGACCACAAGCAACCTCTGGAGCAGGAGATTATGTTTAAATACAACCAACCAATCAACTAAACAACAGCAACCAACAACCAACCAACCAACCACCCACCCAACCACCAACCATTCACCAATCAACCGCCAACCAAACCACCAACCAAGCATCCTCCAAACCACCAACTATCCATCCACCCACCCACCCACCAACCAACCAAGCAACAAAAGAAGCAAACAAAACCCCACAAGAACTTTAAAAGAGCCTAGAAGTTGCAACCAGAATGGGCTATAGTGTGAGCTCATGTCATTCTTTGTATTAAAATCTGACCTGTATAGCACTTGACAAGCATTTTTAAAAGGAGAAAAAAAATATCTTTTCTCTATTTCTACAAAAGCAAGAGGGG